GAAGAACGCTTCTGTGCTGTTACCCACCATAGGGCTATCGTAGCCATCTGCATCAGCCTTCCACGTCGTTTTAAAACATGTGGGAGTGGTAGCCCGCATGATCGCGGTAGTTACACATGAATTCCAAGCCAGAGGTGATTTTGATTCCATTGGTTGCAGATTGTCCCGCGCTGCACTGAACAGAAAGAATGTCCCAGCTGAACTTGGCAGAAGTAATGAACGTACATACCTGGCCATCGGTTGTTCTTGCTGATCAGCATTCATTCCTCCTTCGTTGACATTCAGACAGTTCTTGGCACTGCCCGAGATCAAGAGTCCAGCATAGCATTTGGATCACTTTTAGTACAGTTGGCATTTCAATAAATGGGCTGTCTCTTCGCGCGATCGTCATTCAGCTGGTTGTTTTGGATGGTTCAAACCTGCTGTCATTGTCTCCTAGGCGAATGATCGGTGGCAATCAATGAGGTCTGGACTTACAGAAGCCGGTGGTGTTTGACATACTTGGTTTTTCTCAGATGGGAAATAAAAGTCTGAAAATCATAGCGGAGAAAAACACAAAATGCCTTAGCCGTCTGTTTCACTCCTGTACCATCGCTGTGCCGTGACTCCAAGTGGTACGGTCGTCCAGAAGCCTCTCTGAAGAGCAAATTTACGGCCGTACCCACCTTATCTCCCCGAGACTGGGTGACGAAATGACCGACCGGTCCACAACGAGAGGTCGGGTACCGGGACTGCTTGAGACGCGCCGCCGGACAGACCCGCCCATCCGCCGCCTTTACGGGCTCATTCACGGCGTGGTCGGGATGGTTCGAGGATAGTCTGGCAGCATTAGGTTTCATTCACTCGTCGTGCTCCGCTGGCATGTGTGTTTTCATTACCAATGTCATTCGAAGTTAATTTGGCGCGACACCAGCGGGCATTCGGCCGGACTGCGAGCGCGGACTGGTAATGAGGCGCCGTGCGGAACTGCGACGACCGCAATGTGGGCACCCGCGCCAATGCTTCTAGAAGACATTGCAACGTTACAACAGAAACAATTAATTATAACTGGCTTTTGCCAAGGCTGCAACGTTGACGGCGTCAAGGTCCTGCTTGTCGAGGGCTGGAGATGCCGCGAATGCCGTTGAATGGTTCATCCATTTCGCGCCGACCTGGGTGCTGTCGCCCACACACCAAAATGGACATCACGCGGCCCAAGCGACGGCACAATCCATGAGGGTCATGTTCAAAACTTTTGGATCTCGCCGACTGTCTCTACAGAGCACCAATGCCGGACTCTGTTCTCGCCTCCTGCGAGTCTCCTCTCACCTGGAACTTGCCGCCTAAACACGCCCAGCCACCCCGCCCTTGGCACCGCGGCCGCGTCGCCCGCCGGCCTCAGTCGCGTACGAAGACGAACTCATTGTAGTGATTTCCAGCGGGGTTCTCCTCCGAGTCGGAGCCGGGCTTCTCCGAGACCCCCGGGATGCCGGCCGTGCTGGAGCCGCAGCTGGCCACCAGGCGGAAGCCGGCGTCGTACAGCATGTCGAACGCCTGCTCGAGGAAAGAGTGCTTGAGAAAGAAGCGGCTGGTGTAGCGGTCCACGTGACCCCGGTCCGGGTCACGTGACTCGTTGAGCGTCTCGCCGAACGCCTCGCGACAGAGCGTGACGCGGCCCGACACCAGGATGCGCGCCAGCTTGCGGAACTTGACGTCGGCCAGGCCGTCGCGGCCGAACGCGCGACGTGCCGCGGTAGCCGACGGTTCACGCAGCCCGCGAGCGCTCGCCGCCCACCCGCAGTCGGCCGATGCTCGGTCGACTTGAGCGCCTCCTCCAGCTCGGCAGCCGGAAGAACTCGGCCTCTGCAGCAGCCGCTCGGTCCTCTGGAAATTCTCCGGCCGGATCACCTTCTGAGCTGCGAAGGTAGTCGAGCACGTAGCGGAGAGCAACGCCGTCGCGTCGGTGGGTCCGACGAAGTAGCGGCCCTTGGAGTCCGCGGCGGCGGCTCGGCCGCGTCGCCGGCGAACAGCTGGCCGAGCAGCGAGCCGGGGGCAGGCGGTGAGTGTGGCCAGTGAGGGTGGTGTGTAGCACACGCCGCCCACGTTCAGGTCCCACGATCGGCGGGAACTGCCGCACCGCCATGCTGCTGGCCGCCCGCTGCCCGCCGCCTCGACCGACTGCCGGCCGGCACGCGGCGGCAGACGCGCTGGCAGGCCAGCTCGGCGCGCGCTGGATCGATGGGTGGCGAGGGCCGGCTGTCCCGACCGGGCCCGGCCCGCCACGCCGACAGTGGGACCGACGGGCACCGGACGACACCGGACCGGCGCTCCCTCCCCTCCCCATCACAGGGGCGGTGTTCCAGACGTCCCCCACGCGACGACACCCGAAGCTAGCGCGCGCTGGAACGCATCAGCTTGTGGGGTATTGTGCGTTGTGCACTATGCTGCCCGGGCACTAGCTTACCACTGACGGCGACATGCGACGCGGCTCGTGCCGCCACGCTGTTTTTGTAGTCCAGCCGCCATTTTCCCATCACAGTTTTCTGACTCCACTCCACATCCTACTTCACTATGAGGCCCAGACTCGGTGTGGTCTGGGCCTCCCCCTCCCCCATGTCTCGTCCTCCCCCTCCCCCATGTCTCTTGACCCGAAGTTCGACTTTCCGATGGGTTTATCTGCTACAGATGCATCATGATAACGGCGCTGCTACAAACATTAACATCGCCTTGATACTGCTGACATTACCAGCCGGGCCCACCCCTTGCCCACTATGATCATTTACGACTACCGACGACAAAAGGTGATAGATATCGCCATCTGTATCAATGAGCTGACAGTTAATATCGCTGATTCCTAGCGCCAGCCGCTAATTAATTACATTTATGCGCATAGCAGAGGGCCCTACCACCTCCCAGCTGTATATCGTTACATCTCCCCATGCGGAGAGCTGCGCGGAGAATGCTACGATGTGGTCCGCGCAAAATAGCGCGCCAATCGGAGTGTCGGTGTCTAAGAACAGATTAATTGTTGAAGTTAGTTAAGATCTGGGTCTGAAAAGTTCCTCACTGGAGCTTTTCAGCTGCTGTGTCTGAACCGTTTGAAAAGCGTGTTGAACTTGGTGTCTTTTTCCCAACCATCCTGTTCAAACTATCCAATTTAAGATTGGGACTTGAAAGAACCTCGCTGGGGCTTACTGGCGGCTATTTCTGGACGGTTTGAAATAGTCTTGAAACGGCGTGAATTTCTCCAACCATTCTGCCACACCCTCCTGAGAATTTTGGGCTGTTTAAGGGAGGGTATTCTGGTCATGGTGAGCCGATGTGAACTATATTACTCACTTTAACACGCGCCAGGGTGGCTGTCTGAATACCCTTTGCTCAGGTGGGGAGTTAATTCCCCCTCCCCATGTAATCTTAAGAACTAAGAGACCTAGAGACACTAAATTCACAGGGTGGGTTGGCCTGTACGTAAACCCCCGTGTGTCCAAATTTAAAGCTTCTGAATCTTAACTCGGGTCGAATAAGGTCAGACAAAATCCAACTCCAAATTGGTGTTCACAGTGTCCCCAGACCTCCCCAGACCTTGAACCTAGACACCTGTTCTAAGAAGAGGCTGGTGTTGTTCATTTAAGTCAATGACCTTTTGGCCTTAAGAAGGTCATGGTGACCAAAATCCTATGAGATCGTTTTGGTGTTTGCATTTAGATAAACGTCAAGGATATCGCTGGGTGGTATGTTCCAAAATGTGTTGACCTGGTCATTTCAGGTCAATTATCTATTCTAATCTTTAAGGAGCTCATGTGAGATGTAGTTTGTTGTCCCTGTTATAAAGAAATCGAAACGAGCACCACAAACTACCTCATATAACAAGCTTTCAAGTAAAAAGGCAGGCTGGTTTTGCTCCCAATCTGATCTTCATACCTGGCCCTAGGTCAATGAAATTTATTGTAATCCTAAATTAAAGTGCCTGAAAAGCTATCTCAGAGATGTATGGTTTCGCGTAACACTCCGTTGTCACATCACGTTGAACGATTTCCTAGAAATTGCCTTCGGTGATGACCATGGCGAGACTTTGACCCTCCGTAGGTCAGCAACCTTGCATGGTCCATGTAGTGTTTATGCTAAAAGATTTCCTAAAAACTGACTATAGCTATGCAAAATTCCGCGTAGCTTCGCCCCGCCGTTCGTAACTTAGTTTGTGAAAACCTTCGGGATCAAGTTGATCCCCCATCCCAGCGCGTGTTAAAGCTGGACATCTACAACGATATGCCCTGGTGATACATGGCGATATACATGAATGACCTCAGCATGAGGGTGGTGGATCGGGAACCGAAAATATTGGGTGACTGGCCTGGCAAGTTGCATGAGACTCGTACAGTTACGGAGGCAGACTCCTTCGTGTTTTTAAATAATTGTCGCTTGAATAAGTGGGAGTCATTGCACAAAGCTGGCATCTTCTACAGCTGACAGATTTCGTTATGAGAAGCTACAAATGTTTTGATATTCTTCATTTCGTAGGCTTTTCAGAGTTGTTTCGCAACAGAGGTGTGCATCAAAAGATGAGGCTTTCTTACATTGGCTCGTGCCCAAATATGTGCGTTACACTAGAAGCTACAGTAACTATGATGACCTTTTGAGTTGACAGAGCTGGCGTGCCTGGTACTTCTTGCTTGCTGATGCCGTCTGCCCACAGTTTAGCTGTTTAAATCGCATCTTCCTGGAACAGAGCGCGGCATTTGTCTGAGATAGCCCGTGAGACAAGCTATCAGTTACCTTCTGAGATCCCAGAAACGGGCTGAATGAATCCACACTCGTCAAAATTCAATCACCCACGAAGTTCGGAAAAACTAAATAAAATGGCCTATCCACGCATCTAAATTCGGGCCTTATTAACGAGCAAGTGTAAGTCAGGCTTCATCCAGAGCGTATATGGCTGTGCAAGAGCATACGTATATGTGTATATATATATATATATATATATATATATATATATATATATATTCGGGGAGGATTCGGCGAGGAGGGTGCGGACGATCTGTGGTCGGTCACCGACTGTGTAATGACGCTCCGTATGGCCCCGTTCCAGACCATAACGACGGCCATCGGCCGCCCCCAGCGCGCCGTCGCCCAAGCCCGACAAATGTGCCGGCAGCCTGTCCGAGCTGCACCCCACGGCTGCTGCGCCGAGCGCTGGGAGGCGACAGCTTGGCACCTCCTCTGGGACGCATTGCGAAAACACGTGCCAAAGTTAATGTTCGCTGTGTTACAACTTGTCTTGTTCAATGCCAGCGCGATCATGTGAGCGCGCATCAAGGATGTTTGCAAACTTCTGCTTTTGAAGAGGTGCCGATGTGTCTGACTGGTTCAGACCCATGTGCTCACTTTTAACAGAAGTTCGTCGGGCCGCGATGGTGCACGGTCCTTGCGAACTGTTATGCATACGCTTGCGTCGCCAAGGCACGTAAATTTACAGTAAGTGTGGCATCTGCACTCTACCGTTGAGGCTGAAATCGGGAGCCCGCCATTGGCTGTCCATAACACAGTCAGAGAAAATGAGACAGCAGTTACCCAATTGCATGTCCCTTTCATCTTTACCCCGGCTGGGAGATAGTCTTGTATGTCGCCGCTGATAAGTTCCGACACTTTATGGCTCTAATTTTCGGACGCAGCTGAACCATATAGATTGCGGAATGGGGGCCGATTTACCGGCGAGCCGACGTTATGGGAGATCGGGATATGAAGTGCGTGGAGGTCCGGGTCATATGGACGATATAACTCGTGTCTGGTCGATGGAGCTGTAATCGACACAGCCTTCGCGCACCGCCGCCATCCCGACAACGCGGGCTGGCTCCGTTTCAGGATTGCGTCCGATCTACTCCCCATGGTATGGTGGTGCCCTCCCCAGTCGAACAGCCACTGGGGATAAATATATCATGCTTGCACGAAAGCCGCATGCATGCAGTATTGGTTGGTCGGCATTCCATGCGCAGTATGGTACTTCAGATGGCGCCCATAGATGGCACCACCAGTACAGCGCCCCACGTAGTACCGCGTCGCGAGACATTTGCTTAGATCATTTTTAAGGCACTTGATGCATCCGTACTGAGTCGCTTGGGCTAGGATTAATTTCACTTTTTTCTCTGTCATGTCTTTAACTATGAACTATATGGGGGGGGGGGGGGGGGGGTCCGGGAACCGGTGGGAAAGATCAGGAGAGTGACGTGTCTGGGCCTTTGACATTGTTTTCCAATGTTCTAGTGCACTATGTACTGATGTCTTATTGATTAATTATCGCCGAGCAACTAAATCATGATAAATGTAATCTTCCAAAGACCAAGTCTGTGGTCAAGTCATCGAAAACATGCCGCAAGGCTCGAGCATTCATGCATATAGCGACTATGTACGCAGGGCCGCTAATTCACGAAGGCAATGAAAGTCTCGAAAAGCAATTAAGACGCACAGTGCGTCATTAGGATGCAAATCAATGCCATGTCGCTGGGGGCGGCGCTTTACCGGCGTTAACGGCGCCGGCCCTTCGCGCAGTGAAGCAGGTGGCAGCCACAGCCATGTGATATATACTCGATGTCCTGGGAGCGCGAACATCTTAGCACAGGCAATGTGCTCGAGCAGTTCTCGTAGGTTCACGAGAAGTTCGAAAATGGTTCTCCGAACAACGTGCTCTCCGGAGAACGGTGTGATGTTATCGAACAGCACGAACTCGGAAGATGAACTGCTCCCATTCCGGTCATCGTTGTTGTTTAATTTATCGCGATATGTCAACAACTGCTGAGGCGGATGTTCTGCTACAAAATAACGTCGGGGATGAATGTCTTTCTTCAGCGAATGCTGTTGATTTGAACGCTCATAGATTGCACCCTTTATGCCTTCGTTGTAAAAGTGCGCGTGTAGGCAACAAGGAACATGTTTTGCCGACCTCAGCATCATGTGTCATAATTAGCTGGCCTGCTTTTCATATCGATAAAGGCGAATTGGAGCTTCGCTTACCTTCATGACATGCAAAACAACAATAGGGCATTGATGCACCACTCAACGCACCGCTCATCAATCCACAATGTGCATTCTTGTGGGCACTGATCAGGGATAGTTTGGTCAAAAGCAATCACGTGTCCCCGTGCTTAAAGAAACCACGCCCGTCGTGAGGACGGCGGCGGGCATTCGAAGCGGATATTTACAGCATCTTCGCAGTCAATCGCTGGCACCTATCCTGGGACGAGCAACGTTGGACTTCTACGTGAAAAAGGACGGATCGCGCCACCGAGAAATGCAGCTAATTTCGACGCCGTATGCAATCTGGCCACCAACATCTAATACACGTCTGTTATGTTGATCAGAGCCGGGCAGCCCGTGGGTCGTATGTCAGTGACCTGCCGCACACAAACACGAACATTTGTTCCAATTCGACAGTGTCCTCCGTGAGATTGTGCTGTTGCTGCGACGCCACCGCAACAATGCCGTGGTGGTGACACAATACACGGGGTCACGCCACGGAACAGTTCCTGGCAAACAGATGCTC